TGTGTGTTTTCAGAACCTGGGAAGTCGTTTCTTGGAGAACGACTCCCAAAGAGAACCTGAAGCTAAGGTATCCTAACAGTTGAGACTGCCAAAAACGACCAGCAGGAGGTAAATTATTGAGTTCAGGCAAGCAATACTGATAGCTTCCGCATGGCTGCCTGAAAGGCACAACTAAGTGACTGCTGCTGCCGTCTCGTTTTAGTGAGTGGATTATTCCAAGTGCGGGTTTTTAATGTTGGGAAATCCTAAATAGAGTGGAATTAAGCGGTTCAAACCAATATTTGACGAGTACAAAAATTACTCAGAAAAAAGTTCATGAGGTGAAAGGTTCGTAGTAGGTCAGGAAAAGACAGTCAACATATTGAATGTTGAAATGGATCCTCACTCTATGTTTACGCGATCTTTACTTTTCATGCGCTACTATTGAAGGTCTTTGGGGGTGAAGAAAGGTCAGGCGTTTATAAAGTGTTACCAAATTTTTCTTTGTCTAAATCTAGCTCCTAAAGCTAGTAAATATTAAAGCAATGCCTTTTTACTGGCTACTTATCACTCTTTAAAAACACGCTTCCACAAGAGTGGAAACGAGTTATTCTGTCTCACATCTTCAAAGGAGGAGATAGGCAAAACCCGAAATGCTATCGACCCATAGCACTTCTACCAGTAATGTTGGAATTGCTGTAGGGTCTGGCAGACTTCTATATCAGGGAGACCTAATCGATGCTGGACATGGTTGCAGAAAGAGTAGGTCATGCATCTCAAACTTTCGGGCTGCCATTGATAAGTGAACAGCATGCTGGGACCTCCAAGTTCCTCTTCATGTGATTTTCCTGGATTTCGCTAAAACCTTCGACGGTCCCTCATACCATTCTTATTCGCAAGATGTCACGGATATCATCGGTCAAGTGCTCTCCTGGCTACAGGGTTATTTAGACAGCAGAGAACGCCGCACAAAAGCCGACGTCTACTCGACTTAGCAAGGGTCATCTTATTACATTACAAGGAGCGATTCTGGGTTCGCCGCTATTCCTTCTTTTTGTGAACGACCTTCCATTGAGTCTCAGCTCCCCAATTCTAGTTTACGCTTACGATGTTAAGTTATAGACAGTTGTGGCATCCGAAGCGGAATCAGGTGCGCTGCAAAGTGGTCTCAAATGTCTCGCAAAGTGGGTAGATTATAAGGGACTAGAATTTGAGTTAGATAAGTGCCCAACTATATTTCTCCGTACCCCTAACTCAGAAAGTACTCTGCTCTCTGTGGGACACGACTTTCCCACACCACCACGTCAAAAGACCTGGAACTAATACTAAATGACAAGCTAGACATTAGCTTCAATTATCTGGGAGATGCCTCAGCCTACGCAGTACTTGAATTCATGCGCAGACAATTAGGTGCCTTCGATCCGAACTCTTCCTGAAGCTGTACAAGACCTAAATACGACCTCACGTAAAGGTCCACAACGTCATTGCACTACCATACCTGGAAAAAGGTTTGGACCTCCTGGAAAAGGTCCAGAAACAAGCAACAAAGGGTGTCATAGGAATGAGGCAAAAACCCTATGAGGACAGGCTGAAAGGCCCAGGGCTTTACTCTCTTAGCTACCGTAGGCTACGTGGTGACTTGATAACGGCTTATAAAACAATAAGTAATCCAAGTCATCCGAACAGTGGAATCCTACCGAACGGCCACTGTAGCAATCCTTGTGGTAACCCAAGGCGAATCGCTCACCAAATGACAAAAACGGTGCGCGTTAACCTGGAAGCAGAAATGCAAGTGTATCCTAAGTCGCGTCGGTCACCCGACACCAGTTGTACGAGCGTGAGGAACTGATAGTTTTTGATGTCTCACGTCTAGTTCTTGGGGCTCCTTTCTCGTTTTTCGGCCTGCGCCTGTGGTAGGCAATGAGATCTTGACTGCTTTCCTTCTTTTAGTTCCTATGAGGTGAATGTTTTTTGTAGGTTGGTAATTGTAACTTGTAGATTGAGTTGGTTAGGGAGCTTCGTGCTGCTAGGATGCTAAGCGTCTTTCGTGACTGCTGTCTGTATAGGTAACTTCAGGCTGGTTTTTGGACTTCCTTGTGATGGCTGTAGACATAAGCACTGCTAACCATGGACAAAAATAAAATGTATCAATATACGGGATGGAGTTCCCTGAACATATCTTGATCGGAGCTTTTTAAAACTGTGTGTACGGACCACAGCACACGGAAACCCCTCCCTGTAGCTGCTTTACAGTGTGTAGACCTGGTTTATGAAGATAGCCAAGTCTTTTATTTCCAAGAAAAGCATGTGTATCATCGTAATATTGAAAACACTATGACCATCGTGAACTATTGCACTTTTACCAGAGTAGATTTTCAAACACTTTGCCACCAGGTCGTATAAGTCCACTTAAACCGCATATCTATTAGCATCACTCCGTTTAACTCTCAAGACTTACATAACCGGCGAATAGGAGCTCCGAGGAGTTCAGCATTTCCGGTTAGTCGTCAACATGGAGTTAGAAGTAAAAGAGGACCGAAGAATGTTCTTCAGGGGACTCTACAGGCTTCCACTTGTAGTCTCAACAACCCTTACTCTTCACCTTCTGTCGTACAGAAACCCCATTATCCAGGCTTGCAATTTGTCATCAAAATCGAAAGATAAAAACTTCTTTATTCTCTTAACATGAATACTTTGTCAAAATCCCTACTAAAGTCTATTAGCGTAGCATCTACTATCTATACGCTGCCACGGGTTGCTACCCATTCCTTTCTCGCGATGGGGTTTCTTCAGCAGGCGTTTCCCGCCCGGAAACCATGTTGCTGTGGTATGGAGAGATTAGACACTTTATAAAAATAGTGACTCGACTAGTTAAACTCGAGGAGCAACAGCTAGTAACGACTCTGTTCCCATCCTTGAAAATGCGACGGACCACAGCGTCTTTTCATCCCCTAGGTTATCAAAAGTGTGACAAAGAAAAATATCTCTGTAAATGGTCTATGGATAATATGACCCAAAACTAGTAACCGCCTAGGATGTACTTCATTGGGACCTGGTGACTTAATTAGGCTTCATTTTATTGAATAGCAGGTTCTACTTTTTTTTGGGGGGGGGAGGGGGCGAGCGCATCGGCTGTAATATTACTTAACACCTGAAAAAACCTGGCCAATGTAATTCGATGGGTTGTCAGCTTTATCCTTGTCTCATTCTGCCAATACATATAAGTTTCTATTTAACAGTACATTGTGTGTTTCACCGTACCTTCTAGTTTTGCACCTGGTAGTATAAGAGTATAATCTTGGGACGCTTGACTGAATCACTTACTAGTCGCCTTCCATACCTAATGTGACTGGGTGATTAGAGTCTAACATACATTCCCAACGTAACGATATTGCAACTTAAGCTTGTCACTTCCCGTTTCTCTATACAGATCCCACTAGTCTCCTCCACCTTGAAAACCTTTGGCTTTGACTGCCTATCCCGTGATATATATGATTAGGTTCCTGATGTCGATTGAAGAATAAAACGAGAGGCGACACTTTCAAACATGGTGTTAAAATTTTCCTAGGCTTTCTCAACGCTAGTTTATTTTCACGGACCAGCCAATTGAGGTTGTGGTGGCCTTAATTGCCGATGCGTCTGCTCGCTAAATATCCAGTCGACAAAGGATGGATTCGTAAATCAGGTCGAACGTCACAAATCTGAAAGCCATAACTACGTGATCACTGCTTACTAGTAAAGTAACGCATTGCAAACCATTCACGTCGTTCTAGTGGCGTGTAAAAACTAAGTCCAATGGTAACAATTCATGCTCTGAGTTAAAGCACGGCGACACCATTACACGCCGCACTAAGGGCACAACAGAGAGCAGTTTACAGTGGATCGTTATCGAAACAACCACATAAATATGTTAGCTGTAAGCTTCCAATGGATATCATGTGAAGTACCTCGATGCACAACCACTTATTGGTGTCACACTACAACAGGTATATATATATATATATATATATATATATATATATATATATATATATATATATATATATATATATATATGTCTTTACTCACTGTTCGTTAGTTTGTGCGTCCAATACAATGTCCCACATGTTTGGCAGTTGTGTTGACCCATCTTTGTTGCATGTGTTAGGAGTGACATGTATAAATATGGATTATATTTTTTAACTTTCCTTCCCACCTGTTGTTGTCGGACTTTAGTATAGTAGTGGTGCAATCGATGTTATGTTTTTCGTCTCACACATGAGCTGCTATCGATGGACGTTCTTCCAAATGTTTGTATTTTTTCCCTCCTTAGGCTGACTTTTGGTTAGTCTTTGATGTACATTCAGTCCGGTTCTCAGCTTATTGGGCGATCTGCACATTGTTCCTCTCCAATTTTTAACCGGATATTTTAGTTGGTTTGATTTGCTTTCTGTTAAAAATTCATTGGTTTAAATGCTGTGAAAGTACCAGTCTTTCTAAGTTTTCTAATTGCCTCTGATGTAACTTTTCGTATGATAACACCACTGTCTTCCTGTATGTATCTTTCTTAACAACTGTTGTTGGCTTCTGTTTCTTCTTCTCTGTGTTGTCGTTTATGAATCACTCTTCCTTAATAACATCTTGATTAAGGTAATCATTTCTTTTCGTTGACCATCAGGTTATGTTGTTAGTCTACGTATTCTGTTTGTCAGACCCTGTAGTAACCCTCGTTCTACTGTGATTGAACGGGCTGAGTAGTAATTCAGAAACCTTTCAAAGACCGTTGGTTTTTTATATAGTGTTGTTTTTAAAGTGCTTTCTACTGTTCTTTTGATTTACAGTCCAACACTGACAGTTTCCCCAATTCATCCTATTCCCATAGTGGATTTTATTGAGTCCACCTGACTGTCATCTGGACTGAATAGAATTACCACTCAGCCTATCCACAATTTATATATATATATATATATATATATATATATATATATATATATATATATTGAAGGATTAACTTTGAAAATACTTTTAGATAATCAAACTAAATGGAAGTGGACAGCAATGTTGATGCAAGTAATGTAACTTCTGGACCCGGATCTGTTTCAGTACTTCTGCATCCCCTTGTTATTTTAAATATTTCGGAGCACTGGACGCGCAATAAAGTGAAAGAAAACTCAACTGCTGTCACAGTGTATGGCGCTTTGCTTGGTAAACAAGAGGGACATCATATTGAAGTAACAACACACTTCTAGTACCATAATAATGCTTAACCTTACAGATATCTAATTCCTTTGAGTTACTCCTAGATGACTCACAAACATCAGTTAACTCTGGTTTTTATAAAACCCGTGAAACCCAATGCAAGCAAGTGTATCCAGACCTAGATATAATCGGTTGGTATACTACTGGTGGACCTTTCAATGAAAAAGATGAATTATTTAATAGACAGGTATGTTTTAACTGATCATGGTACATTCATTTTCTAGATGCAAGAACTAAATGAATTGCTTCTTATATTAAAATTGGATCCGCTTCAAACATGTGGAGAAAATTTACCCATCCGTGTTTATCAGTCAGTAGTGGACAACGATGCGAAAGTTCAGCCTAGACCGGTACAAGTTGTATTTATGTTGGATAGATGTTTATTAGGATTTGAAAATAAAAATCACCTCTTAAACTTACAGTCAATGTTTTGTGTACTGTTTTTTTTGTTGTTCACTATGTTGTAACATTCAAAGTTGTGATAACCTCACTTAGTGAAATATTTTTTTTAGAAATAGTCATTGAAATGAGTAATACGCACTGAAGAGAACTGATTGACTGCAAAGTCACCTTTTTATCTGTGATCAACTATTTGTTATCTAGTTTTGTCGTAGTTATTTTGTTTCAACCGCTAAAACAAACTGGAAATAGGGTGTTCGATTTATTATGATATATATGTATACACTTATTTAGTTGGTTAACAATTCTATATTCTGATATCCATTCAGTTCGTGTATAGAAATAGTTATTACTTAAGTGTAATAAGTCAGTAAATTTAGAGTTGTCAGCAAACGTTTACGTGACCCACCCTATTATGTGTTCATGTAAGTGGACACGAATTCAGAATATTCTCAATACAAAGGTCTACTGTGCTTGCTTTTTGCAATTGAGTTATGGATTAACTAATCCTCACTTATTATTCACCAGCAGTAGAAATACTCCGAAATGATGCAAGGAAAAACAACTGTTGTAGCTGTAATACGTGTACTTCACGCATTTCCATGAAACTGTTACAAAAACCAGTTCTGTTAAGTAATTCCATCAGGCATTTCACGCAACTTTAATCATACCATATTAAATAGTTGTACTCACATTGACATCGTTACAATAGCATAAACTTAATTGTACTTCAATGACAGCCAATAGAATTGTAGTATTTTTCGAAGTCATAGGGCAGAAATAATCAATAGACACTTTTCGTGACAAATCAGACAAATCATATGTCTGTCTGGACAGTGACAATTCATTACATGTATAAAATAGTAATATCTTCGGAAAGAATTTGATTTTATGAACTTTTTCTACCACTGTGTCCAAGTTTTACATTTACATTCCCTAATCTTCATCGTTCAAATCGGTTCTCCTCCCTAGTACTTTTTTAAACCTTTTTTCTACCCTGTTGTTCTTTTCATGCTACTGTGAACTGTTTCAATTTGAAATAATGCACTTCTTTGTGAGGTTCTACACCGGTTTTATCTGTATTTCTGTTATAGGTGTGGCCAAGAGTTTGGTACACAAATATGTGTAGATATTCATAATCGAAAGCCACTTTTCATGGAAATCGATGTCTCGTGTTTCCTTGAAAAAAGTATTCTCAGAAAAAATCCTGGTATTTTTGAATGATTCGAAGTTATCATGCACATTTCGATAATATCAAGCATTGTACGACAGTTTATCACATTATTTATATTTACATTTTATGCTTTAAAATGATGCTTGAGTTTATGCGACTACTAAGAGGAATTTCACATCTCTTATTGTCATCATTATCATGTATCTAATAGATTTGTAATTTTTCGTTCGTTTATGATGAATACTATTGTTAATTTCAGGTATCATACACCTTAGCAACCGATGAAGCTGAACGTATTGGTGTTGATTATGTTGCACGTATTTCAATGTCTTCCACCGGGCAAAAATCATCTATGGTAAGTGGTTTTGATTTTTGTAAACTGTTGTCTTCATAGAAATATTACTGACTTTTTACATTCAAAACTGATGCAAGTTCATCTGAGTGGAACTATGGCTCATTGGTCTATGGAGATGGCTTTCAACCGATGGGTCACAGGTTTGAACCTTGCTCCGCATACCGTGGTTTGGGCAGCCAGGTAGTATCACTAGCCCTCATGGCCTACTCCAGGTAATTGTGATTTTGAAGTGGGAAGTTCCGTTTAAAGACACTACTATGCTTATCCACTATAAATTCAATTAGAAATAGTGTTTGTATATTCTTCCTGAGCATTTATTTCAGTTCACTGTGATACTTTTTGGAGTAGTTGGTTGCTGTAATATTCAAGACAGTGATACAGAATTTTTGGTAAAATATCCAACCTCTGGATCAAGACATATATCATTTACTTTTTGAGTTAATTGTTTGTTTAAACGTTTTTATTTAAATTCTGATTTCTTCATTTCAGGTTGACTTATGCTTGTATATGATTCTTATTTTAGACGGCTGAGCATCTGCTTGGAAATTATCAGGCTATCCAGATGTTAAATAGTCGCCTTCAACTAATCAGAAGCTATATATCTGCTGTCGCATCAGGAGAACTCCCACCAAATAGAGCAATGCTAAGAGAAATCAATGCTTTGATCAAACGTGTCCCACTAATGCCTTCAACTGAATCTGCTAAAGGCAATGATCATTTATATCGTCAAGCTAATGATGTGTGTTTAACAGCACTTCTTGCAAGCATAACTCAAGGTCTACATACATTATACGGATGTATGGTAAAGACAGCACACGCAGCAGATCGTAGATCTATGCCTATGGGTATAGGAATTACAGGCTCAAGTCGTTTTGTTAAAGTTTCTCACGTAATGAATAATTCTAATTAGAAGAAAATGAAGCACCTACAGTTTGCAAACTGAATTTACATACTTTATATACTTGGAAGGGTTCTTTACCTGTACATAATGCCAGTTGTTGTTTTTTCTTCCAGAATTCCGGAGTCCAAAGGTTTCACTTAGATAAAGTGTTACACATTTTACTGTACACATTTGACTAAACCTCTGTATCACCATATGCCATGTGACAAAAGAATTTTTCAGTCTTTTTACTGGACCGAGTCAGACGCGTTAATACCATTACTAACTGCGAATTCTAGTCAATGTTTCTAAAAGAATGGTGCAACTTGATACAGAAATAGTTAGTCATTTGCTGACTAGCAGTGAAATCTAGGAAAAGCGTCTCTTCCTATTTGCAACTTGTCAGTTGAATGTACCTTCACCCTAGCAAGGGATATTTCCAATGAGATTTGAACTCAGTACCCATCTCTTCAAACCCCAGAGCGTTATCAACGAGGCCAGTGGGACAAAGCCACCTATTGTGCGGCGGATATCAGTTTTTGTTTCTCATGCTCGTATTTTCGCGTTGCAATACAGCGACGAATGGCTCGCCTCTGTTGGGATATAGGTTTCTATGCGGAAGCCTGGATATTCATTATATCATTATCTACTTGGTGGCTATCAGTGGAATCCAAGACGCACATCTCGGCCTATTTGCAACTCGTCAGCTGGATATACCTACACATCATTCAGTGATGTTGTCCTTACTGAGACTCGAACCCACTACCTGGTTAATTATTTGTTGGATCATTTTGAACAAAGATGTGTATATACTTTAATTAGCAGACGAATTCTCATCTCTGAAAAAGTTCTTAGTATCTTTAGATGTTTATGATGCATATTTCCCATCAGAATACACACAACTTCATCAGTCTATGAAGAAGTCACTTATCATCAGTAAATATGGATTTTGTAAGGCTCATGGAACTGAACCCGTGACTAGAACTTCCTAGACTAAGTACTTATATCATTGAGCCTCTTCTCTTTAGCAGAAATGGTTAGTGTTTATGCAACAGATTGTCAGTGAAGTTTAGAACTGATTCCTTATTGCATCTTAGCATAGATAGTCGTGTAATATTACTCATCTTTCAATCAGGAACTTAAAATTGTGTATCCTCAATCATATTCAGATTTCACTAATTTGTTAAATACTCATGAGTTTTTACTGCTTGGTTTATTATCTCGACAAAAAGCTGAGTAATATTCAGGTTGAACACGATAGTATATGCAATAGACATTCAGTCAGTATCAGCGTGACAGCAACTTTCATTAGCATCAAGATCAACATAGGACCAGACATTACTGCACAACTGTCCAAGATACCACACCTAATATTAGCACACCAAGTAACAAGAAAACAAAATGGAAGATGAACAAGGGATAACAATTTGGTCAAAAGAAGCAGAAAGTAGTAAAAGAGAGGAGGTAGGAATGAGAAAATGATGTAATTAAGTGTAGCGGTTAAAATGAGGATAATGTGTCTACATCTGCACCACTGACATCAATTCTGAACCATATCATCTAGAGTCTCCAACCACTGGTTTCTTTTGTCCCATGGACCCCAACTAGCTAGTCTGCATCGCTATACAGGGCTCAGACGAACAGTCAAGGATTCCCTCCATTCATCCCACGTATTAGTCTGGCTACTCTGAGCATTTTTCCAGCCTGAACCTACTTCTGCCAACGTGCTACGAGGCAGACGGTGGTTAGGTATACTGACCACATGTCCTAGCCATCTCAGTTGATAAAGGTTCACAACGGCATCAACTGTCTTACCTCTCATCCCTAAAACTCTACGTCTGACTTCTGCGTTACTCGCCTGGTGACACCGCGAAACATAGCCTATGCTACGAAGTGAACGGTGGTCAAACACCTGAACCCTTCTCATGTCCTCTACTTTTAATAGCCATGTTTCACAGCCATACAGTAGAACAGAGTGAACTGTAGCACAGTACAGTCGAGCCTTTGGGATCTGTGCAGAGATTTCGTCGACCACTGAGCCACCAGGGTTGGCCCGACTTCCCAGGTGGGTGAAGCGTCCAACCACTTCACTCTCTATTGTTAGCCAAGGCACCTTTGAAGACCGGTCCTGGAGCAACAATTTGCGTTTTAGTGGCGAGAAACTCATCCCAAACATTCTCATAGTCTAGAAGACACTGCATCTTCGCTTAACATGACTATATCATTTGCGTATACTAGGTCTACCAAAGATTCTCCTGTGGTTAGGGCAATCCCTGTGTAGTCAGATGACGAGAGGGAGACCTCCATAAGAACATCTGTGACAACGTTGAATAGAAAAGGAGAGGGTGGGCATTCTTAACGGATATCAATCGACGTACATAGCTCACTCGACATATCACTATCGGCTCTAACATACCCACAGATGTTCGAGTACAGAGCCTTCGATGAGGTGATTTACTTGGTCCCCCTTTTAATGAGAGACATTGCCATAAGACTTCTCGATCGACGGAGTAGAGTACCATCTTTGGGTCAAGAAATATAGCTATTGTCGGGCGTCGGTAAGCGTGCCTGTGTTCCAGGACCTGGCGGAGTGTAAATATTTGATCAATACTCTGCAAATTATAGGTTGATAGGGATCTCTGATGCTCATTCTATTTTCTTAGGTTTTAGTACTATTTATGCATCATATTGAAAGCATACCTTGCATTTCCTGACTCAAAATTAAATTTTGCTTAGGGGGAAAGAATACTTGTTATGGGATGCTCGAATTTTCGTAGTTAGGTAAAGTTCTACTACCTCGATATCCTAAAACATATTTTTTCTAAAGTCATTTCTGTCAACGAGTATCTTTAGCTTGCAATTTTTCTAAGTAAACATCCAGAAGCTTCTTACCTGCGTTCCATGTGCAGTCCGTCAGTATATATCTTATATATAATATATAATGTATGTATACAGTATATAAGATACTGCTAAACCACAGAGTAAATGTGACACAATTAAGCTCCCCTATGAAACGGATTATAACCAATGAAGCGTATTCAGTTAATATGTGTGTGCGTTTTAATGCTTAGTGAAGCATCCTTCCGCCCTTGTTTTTAATGTCACATTAAAGTCTTCGGGATTGGTATATGGCTTATAATATCTGAGAGCTCAATCCACCATTTCTTCACTCATCTGTTTCTTGATTTACTATCAGTGGTTGTTTCTCTTTCGTTACGTTGGTCCTCTTACCCAAGTGCTGAATGAAACTAGTACTCATAGTTTCTTGAGTACGCAGTAACCCTCGTAACACTAGTATGCCCAGTAAACTCATACTTCAAGAAAATATGTAGCGTCTGTTATAAGCAGCATTGTACTTTCGTAGAAAAAAACAGGCAGACATGGTTAAATTATATTTTATTTCAGTAGTAAAGATGAGAGTTGTTAAATCAAATAACTGTCACGATAGAAGTTATAGAAAACCCAACAAGTTATGTGATCGTTTTATAAAACTCTTTCTAATTCTGTTGGTGTTGACTGAATTTATGCTTGCAGACTACCAACTATTTTCATTTTCTTCTAAACTACCTGTTTTGAGGAAATAACTGGAAGAAGTCAAAATTATCTATTGCTTCAAACAGTAAAAGGTTTTTTAACATCCAGAAACAAAGTAGCGATCCTAAATGTTAGTTTTTTTTTTTACCGGAAGTCGCCGAATGAAATAACGAATTTATCAGTGGGGACGAATGAAGTAGTTTGACACTTTTATGTTGCAAAGAAGCGTATGTTATTTTGTCGGTCGAAAAGTAAAAAATGTGAGTTTCAGACAAGTGTCATTGGTAGTATTATTTTGCCTACTTTAAAAGGCACTTTAATTATGACTTCATTGGTAACATTATCTTACAGCTCGGTTGGTTCGACGGTTTTCGATAGAATCCTCATCTATTTGTAGTTCGGAAATAACGCTATAATGAGTGAAGTCCACTATCGTGGTTTATCTCATCTTTCGTGCTTGAATTTAGTTGTTTCATCTTCATAAACTGTGGTGCGTTGTGGTCAGGTAATTTGGTTCCATATACACATGAATCAGAACGCCGACAATAAGCACTAGACTTTGTGTCCCGTTGAAAGCGGTTGGGAGGCCTGGTCGAATCCATGACCCATTGTGTAGGTTGGTGGGTTAAGCATACGACACTTGGGTAAGTATATACAAGCCCGACCACCTTTAAGGTCAGTGTTAAGACAAGGTTGTAACAGTCAAAAACTCTATCAGAATTCTAATTCAAACTGATGACTTAGTCTACAGGTTGGCTATTGGGTGAATTAAGCGAAATCTACTGAGTTGTTAGATAGTTCAAATAGTTCATCTAAACCATCTTAGCATCTGTCATGAAAGTCATGATCTTTAGGAGTTACTCATAGCGCTCATACGAAACTACACCGAAAATACAAATGTAAATAAATTGATAATCACTGATTTACTGTAACTCTGATCACTGAGAAATTCTGTCTGTGTGGCTCTTAATGTTCAGTTTGACGTAGTTGTTCATACTATATAATATCAACCAGAAATGCGTTACGCTTTAACATATTGCGTAATGTTGAACAATGCTGATCGTGCAGTAATACCACGTTCTGTTTTGAAAATAACAGTCTCTTATGTAGTGCAGTTTACTTCTCTCTGTTCCATTCGGTCATTAAGGGTTTCTGATACTTACTTTTTGTACTAGATCAACAAACATCTCTCTCTTCTGAAAGGGTACCTCAAGCTATTAGCATACATTTCGCCTGAGGAACTTTTTGGATGTAAGTTTTTATTACTTATACAGTCATGTGGCAGCTTCACTCAAGTTCATTCAGTTACAACACAGCTTTTACGAGGTCACATGTATTTTGCAAGTTATTTCTTTCTGTGTGTTAGTTTTGACCTAACTCTGATAATCTATGTGGTAGATGTGATATGACAGCACAACTGTACGGTGAAAATGAGCTTTTTTTAGTATGAAAGATTCTACTGTGAAACTACTAATGGACTGACATAATTGTAGATTTAGTGTTATTTGGTAAAACTGTAGTTAAATGCAAAGGAAAATTTTAACTTGTTTCAGATCGGTAGAAAACCACACACTAGTCTCACATGCTTACCTACCGTCTGCCTCATTGTGCAATGTTAACTGAAGTAGGTCCAGGCTGGAAAATGGCTAGACTAAAACATGGCATCACTGTATGAAGTTCTTGACTGTTGGTTAGAGTCATGTGGGGGAATGTAGACTGATCTATTATGGTTCATGTGACAAGAGAGACCAGTGATTGGAGACTCTAGGTGATATAGTTCAAAATCGATGTCAGTGGCACAGATATGTCCACACTTTATCTTCATCCAACTTTTTACTGATTATTTTGGAATGGTGTCTTTGGTGATTCAGTATAGAAGGCTGATGATGAATGTCGTATCAGCTACCAAGCAACAATGAGTGTGGGACTCATTAGTTATTCGACTTCTAAGCGGGTGGATCTCGAAATCAAACTGCTCTACACTTTTTAATCTTACCAGTGGAATAGTATCTCCAGCCGCCATATACTGAATTTTGGATTTGAAATGTACTCATCAACCTTGTGCATATTCATGCAGTAGGCAGTGAGACACATTGTGTAAGGGCTGGCTACCCAAACTTCAATAAGTGGAGAGGGGTTCGACCTGTATCTTGTGTATACAACTTCCGGTTGTCCTCATCATCCATCCTATTAAACATTATGGATGAGTATTCTATTCTCAGTCTTAATATTAGTATCAGAAACTACTGTAAATACAAATATATGCATTAATTAGACAAATAAACTTACTTTGGTTTGCCATGTAACTTTAAGTTATTCACTGTGTCCATCAGTTTCTTCTTGTTCGATTTCATCATTGTTCCTATTGAGAAAAGTTTTCATAAGTTCTCTTTATTTTATCGTCATGTTTACTCATTTTGATCGTCACTCTTTATCTGATCGCTTTCAATAATCTGTTTGTTCAATATAAGTTGATCGTCATATAGATGTCGATAATCTCCCAAAATACCTATCCTATTTTTCACCATTTATTCACGAATCTGCTAATTTCCTACCTTTCATCTCCATCAACTGAGCAGATTTCAATTACTTTTTGTGTCCTATAAGGAGAAATAATGTAGGTTACAAAAACATTTCCACAGAAAATCTACTCTCTTGGTTTTTTGATATCCCTATTAAGGTGGATCTTTAAAATATTCTGTTCTATATCAGGTAATAAAAGCCGCAAAGCAGGTGAACATTTACTTTGTGAAAGTAGATATTTCTCTATAAACAAAATATTATTTATCATACTTGAGCATTGATGCACGAGGTAAATGTGTTTGGTATATTTTACTGGTATTTTTATTATTGGCTTCTTTTTGCCCAAAAAATGAGGCTCCTTGTCGTCCTAATGAGTTGAACATTTCTGATCTTGTAAACCTGTTCAAAAATTAGGAAAGTATTTTATTTTCACAATCCATACTCAGGTATTTTACTGAAATTAGAAAGGTATCCACAATGCGTATGAAACTGTAATAATACATTAAACACTGACAGATTTTAGCCCGTTTACTAGAATTGTTACACAGGGAAACAGTATCATTTACTGGACAACGTTTCAGACACAATTTATTGTTCATATTCATACCAGGTAACTCCACAACTGCGTGACATGGTTTATGTAGTTCTAATCATCTCTCCTTCTCTATGATAAGGGTAGTAGAATTTCCCACATATCTGGGACAGGAGCATAATCATTTCTAATGTATGTATTTGGTGTTGGTTCGACAGACAAAGATTCGGTTATCAACCTCTCTCTTCATCTAACTAGGTTAGTTTTTAATACTGTTGCTCTATCCCATCCTGTCGTGTGATTGCATGCATCCTTCACCTCACTACCTTTCTATTTGATGTACTGTACAGAGCTATGACAACCCGGACCGTTATGCAGTAATGCCTGGTCCTGTGTTGATATTGATTGATTGATAGCTATAGTCGAGCTTTTCTCTAAATTCCTTATCTTATTAGGATCTACTAATCTTGATTTGGCTAAGATTTTGTTCTCTGTTATTCTAACTGACCCTGATCGACAAATTTGATCTGTGTATTTGACCTCGCAGTCATTGCAAGGGATTTGGCAAACCAAGTTATTTTGCCTAGTTGTATCAGTGGGATCTTTTAACCTACAAAGCTTGTTTCTACGCAAGTTTTTGGTTTAAATACCACTTTAATCCCAGCCTTATTGAGACGCAAGGTATTCATGATATATCTAATTTCTTTGTCGCAGATTTCCTGTCCTACTAGTAAGCGTTTTTACACTATCACTTAGGCACTTAACTAAGACTACTCTAACCGAGATGGGTTGAAATGATTTCAAGTCTAAGTAGCGATTCGAGTAGGGAAGTTTCCCATAGATTTCAGTCTCTAAACTCCCATCTTGTTTTCGTTAAATCTTGAAATTCAGCATTGCTAGCTAACCTTCATCATTTTCTAAGTCATAGGTAAATTGGATTGTGTTCACCACTGAATTTGTGTCAAGGACTTTATTGACGTGTCCTGATCTCAGTGCTGTGAATGTGTCATCTACATATCGGAACAATAACGTTATCCAGTAAGTAATACTGTTTCCATGTATGACAATTTTAATAAACAGATTAAAATGGGAGATTAAATAACTGTTTCACTAAACTAGTTTACATGGCATGTCTATTGTAGTGACTTTAAAGGCCACCCTAGCAACTGCTGTGATAACCAATCATGTTTCTTCATTTTCAAAATAACTACCTTCACAGCCAAAATACCTAAAGTTGATTGGCTATTTCAGCAGTTTCTAGTATGGCCTTTAAAGTCCCTCGACATTTTTGTTTCACGGTGATGATGAGGACATAACACCACGGTTGCCAATGTTTCTCAGTATATTAAAAGTTATAAATTAATCTGGATGTAGTAGAAATAATTTGTGGAAAGTTACTGTATGCAACCTTTGAAAGGTAATAAATATGTCAACTTATGGGACACTAGGACTTAGCGCTGTAAAATATGGGGTATACGAGTATTGTTCGATCACACATTTTCATTAATATTAATACATACTATGACCTACAACCTTATTAATCAGAATTCTTCCAATCGATGGTAATATTTAAAAATATTTAGATCGAAATTCCTTCAACGCGCGAGAGTACTTTATTATTTGTATTATCTGTACGTTGTTAGTGTCTATTTAGTAGTTGTGTGTGTGTGGGGGAGGGGGGGTGAGGAGGTAGCATCCATTCACGCGGATCATTAAACCAGTCGCTTTACTAATTAGTAGCAGTTTGAAAGTTTCACTTCAAATTGGATGGAATCTGTAGCTCACTGGTCTAGACAATCGACTTTCAACCAATGAGCCACGAGTTCGAACACTATATCACCTACAGAGGTAGTATCATTAGTCCTTAAATAGTGGGTGTGGCTTATTCCTTACATACAGAGCATTTCAAGATTTTTCGACTTCAAATTGAACAATTAGATGGTATCGTTTACCACTGTATACACGGGGTAATATGCAACCTAACAACCAAGTATAGTTTCGTGTAGCAGGCGATGAGTCACAATGACTGCATTAGAAATGATGATACTAACTGGCCGCTGAGATCTTAGTGCAGCCAGGGTCGACTGCTCGAGAGCCAACCGCCTATTCCAAGGAGCTATCGCTTCAGATTTATTTTTCCATCCCCGAAATTCACGGGTATCGTTTTATAGTTGGTTATAATTCTTACTCTAATTATTGTTAGCTATACTATAGTCCTAAATTGCTGCTATTTTGACCATATAAATAACCGAAAACGTATATACATACCATCCAATTTGAGTACAGATCTCTTTAAATCTTGCACGTCGAAATGTTATCCACATACAGAAAACAAAAAACCAGAAAAATGTCTCATATAAGTTTTGATCCATTTTTGCATATATCACTGGATCGATTGGTCTTGGATTAATTGTGTGCATTTCATTTCGTTCATATAGTAAAAATTTTGCATATGCAAGCGAAAATTTATATTTCAATGTTTCAATCTGAATGTTTAATTCTTCTTGTTCTTCTAATTGATTTCTATTGGGTAACCTAAAACACCAGAAATATTTTTAAAATGATGCTCGTTTCATGAAAGTATTAAAAAAATGTTTTACAACTTCTCGCTAGAGAATTTTTCTTTAAACTTCAGTATCTTGAAATAACAGTCTAAGTATTTTGCCAAAGTTGTCAGTAGTTTATCACATTCTGGTGATCTGATTAAAAAAAACAAATAAACTGTACATTATTTAAGAAAAATATATACCTAATCATTTGAGCAAAGTGTTGTGAATAATGGAAATGCTTTCCTGAGGATCGTAGTTTCGTTAATGCAATAGCTGTTTCTCTACAAAGTAATAAATATACAACTTACATTTTACATCTTGTATAGTAATCATTTGAATTTCACTTTGACTCTTCATTAGGATTTTCTTATGTGGATTCCTATGAGTTATTATTATCATTTTTTTCTCTCATGTAAACACTTTACTTTCGTGAATGAATGAATTTTTGTGACTTTTGATTTGGAAATTTAATAAAAATTAGTTCATTCTTATCATCAATCCATTCAAATCTTCCTGTTGTTGGCTTAAATGATCCAAGTTGTAGTGTAGATATATCGAACAAACCATATTTGATTCAACATGACTAGGATTTGAACAGTTCATTATATCTCAGTAGTATCTATAAAGAGTAAGTAAGGTAGTACATCACTAAATGCTATGTTCATGTTTTCGAAAATTTCTCTAGTCAAAACTGATGAAAAATCTTTAAACAGACATATATATCAACGTAGAAATCTATATAGAACTGTATAAGTTCAAGTTGCCACACTTCACACCAGCATTCAAAGAGCAAACGGGTAGAAAAAGATGATATCAAAGTAAACAAGATTGTGTGAGAGAGAAAAGTTTTGAAAAATAACCGTCATTGAAAATGCTCAAACCTCTGAAGACGTCAAAGAGTGAATACATTTGTAATATTGGAACAGATTTCCAGCTATATCACTAATAATAGATTTCTTTTAACTCATCAACCCTATCCACGCAGTGTACAACTCTCTACAGGGTTCAGAATAACAGCTGGAGACTTCATGAACTTGTATCATATCTTGATCTGGCCACGCTGAACCTTCTTCCAACCCACACTTAGATTATTACTGAAACAATTTGCTTGATTCTAAAGAACCAAGTGTTTTCCTCCAACCACTTCAGAATTACTAGCAGTTTTAGTGAATGCACTAAATTTGTAAATATATATAAGTTGACAGCAGAGTAATATAACGGCGAATATGCGGCAGCCTTCCCGTTCAAAGTAACATAGCTACACCTTGTAAGAACGTGAATTTTACGGGAAACTTACCAATAGTCGAATCTACTTTCAGTTTCCTACGACTTTAGTTGTTTTTATTTTCCAAAACACAAACATGATATAGTAAGGGCACCAAGAAATGCGTCACACAAAATAGTATAACAACATTTTGAATACATAAACGAAAGGAAATAGATACATGTGAAAGAAAAACAATAAGAACAGCATGATTAGAAGGTTAGCTCAGCAGGGTACATTCAAGACAAAGCGTTCGCTACTTTTCAGTAGCGGAAGATGGAAGCTTGAACATGACCACCACTGGTTTCGATTCTGAGCCATATCTGACAACGTCACAAGCCAGTGGAATTGTGTGATCTCTCGGACCCCACCCAGGGAGTTATGATGCACCAAAAGATACCAATCTGATGCAACTAACCTTGACCCCACCCCTCCACTTCTATCCAGTCCCAGGGCTAGCAAACAGTGAACGGCATTCAAGCCGTTGGGGCGACATGCGTAACACATGGCCAAGCCACCGAAGCCTGTGTTTCCAGAAGGCTTCTCCTGTTCGATGACGATCTCCATCGTTCCCAAACGCATGCTGTCGTAACTCAGAATTACTTACATGGTGTTCCCACAGGATACGAGCAATCCTAAGGAAACAACAATGACTGGACACACAGTCATCCTAAATCCTCAGCTCGGAGAGGCCAGGTTTCACAAGCATAGAGAAGAACTGCTCGCACCAAAGCATTATGAACCCGGTCTTTTACGGTCACAATGGCGCCAAAGGTGGCCTAGATTGGTGCATGCCACTCTGGCTTTCCATATAAGGTTGGAAATTTCATCACTCACGTACCTACCGAAGTACACGAACATTTTGACTGTTTCCAACGGCTAACCACCAAGGGTGAGCGCAGATATAGGCTGCTACCAATCTTGTAAAGGTAATTTGCACTTGGATGATGCAAAGTACATACCATACATGAGGACACTAATCCCCAACTGATTAAGTGGGATTTGAATAGCCTGTGTGTTATCGCATAGTAAGATGATATCGTCTGCATATTCAACGCCGAGTAGCCGTTCTTCGGGTAGTAGACCTACCCTCATCATGCACCTCCTTTAAAACTGTCTCACGAATGTCATCAATAGCAAATTTATGCAGAAATCGGGCGACCCTGCCCAAACCTATTGCTGGTCTAGAACAATGGAGACAGATGGTTGTATGCCATCACTCTACCTGAGGTGTTATTATGTAGGGCCTTCAAGATGTTAATAAATTCCTCGGGTACCCCCGTCTCCAACAAACAGTTCCAGAGTACAGCACTATCCAGTGAATTGAGTTTGGTCCCGACAATAATGAATGTTAGTGCTTAATCTTTTCTGATAACTTTCAAGATAAGAAGATGGTAATGAACAGATAGGGACGAATTCAAAAGATTTATGGACGGACTATCCAAAATCTTTTTTACATGCTACCATAGACCAACAGATTTCTTCACATTGGCTCTCTGGTCTTGCGGCTTGATTCCATTTTTCGGTGAACTTTATCTCATCAAATAATTAATTTATTTTGGAGACCTATGGAAGACAGAGTTTGGGTGGGGGGGGGGAGGGAGAGACATTTGAAGTATACATAGTTATTCATATTCCCAGGGCGTTAAAACCTAAGGAAAACTTTATGCTTGTGTACTTCGAGACACATTTTCTAACATATATATCAGAAAATAAACGATTAACACGTTGAGTGTAGAGAGTTGGGGTAACAGATAACTATTTTCCATCATATATGGATTGCATTCATATAGTTGGCGACCCGAATCACGCTAAAAGAACAAATCTGTGATGAAATTCATCGTTTGTAACGTCAGATCGTACCATTTATTTTTAACAGCTCACTGATTCCATTAACTTATTTTCTATTGTTAATATACTCTTACCTACCCAACACTGCAGTGTTATCTTATCTAAGCAGTGTAACTCTTCTACATGTACTTCGAAATTAGAGTCAGTTTGAAAGCACTTGTTAATATTGCTGGGAGAACGGAGAAAATAAATTCGTTAAACTGGCAATTAGGGAAAAAAAAGATCGAAAGATGTACTGGTGTACTACCTCCAAGATAATTTTTCTGCAAAGTTTTGGGGAAAAACGAATAAATTAGAGAAAGCTGAGGATGTCTGCTAATTCTGGGAAGGCGTACTTGAGTCTTGAGACTCAGGATAAATGCGGTTATACTATCTCGTCTCTCCGGAATATTTTACCTGAATTCCCCTAAGATGGCTAGCTTATACTACTGGGCAGTTTGTAATTAGAAGAGAAATATTCAGTAACATGAGAATGGTATTAAAGGATATTCTTAGATTCACATTTAAGTTCAAACTTTGCATTCAGTGTCGATGTTGAACCTTTTCTGTAGAACAACATAGTATAGATGTACAAAAATAATTAATCATTTTTGTTGAATCAAATAAACTTCATTATGAAAGTCGAAATTTGGCATGAATTGAAGTCAGGTTATGCATATCAAACTTCACTTTATGTATCTAGGCTAATTAAATGACAGGCAAGTAGCCATAGTGAGTTGTTAACAAGTAGAGATATGTTAGTACCTCTGTTTATTAACAACTCGACTTTCGCTAACTAGTGTACGAATCAGGTATTGGATATAATATATTCGGTAATTAGGATAACAGTAATTTCCGCCAACAACTGCGAGGTAGACAAATAACGACATATTTCCTACAGCGTTTTTCTATGGGACTGACTAACAGTTCCATACCTCTGATGCATAGTTTAAGTTCGAACTTACTCAATGACCATTGAGTAATTTCAAAGTAACCCAAGTATGCTAATGACTTTGAGATACTGGCAATGGATTTGTGAGTTTTAACACAGAATTATATAGGCATGTATATATATATATATATATATATATATATATGATTAATCTATGTTTCAGATGAAACAGGTCGTTCATTCGAAACAAAGATTTAACAAAACAAATATTAAGCTGCATGTGACCTCACAAATATGGGATACTGGAGGCCAATATGGGCAAGCTTCAGCAAAGTAACGAGCAGCTTGTGAGTTTGCTGACGTAGTTCAACCTGCAGTAAAAATGCTATGTGGGACGTTTCTAATTTTAAAAGCTCGCGCTCACGTTACTATGACAACAACAGGTTGTGGACAAAAAGTAAATGAGTAAAGCAAGTATTATCAATATTTAACATATTCAAATGAACAAAAGACATTTTGTTTTGGGACTGCTTTGTTTAAGTCAACCAAAAATGCATCTTGTTTCGTGTGCACACCTTTTGCTTAATCAGTCTGGAAAGTATCTTTCATTTTTCTTCTTCTTTCTTGAGGTTCTTTTATACATTTACAAATCCTTTAGCCTTCAGTTTGGATCAGGTGCGTTAGTCGAGGAGTTATTTATTTTATTTGGTTGGTTTGTCTCAGATATTGGGAAGCATATTCTCTGTAGCTTGGTTTTTGATTCCGCTGGTTTCAGTGGGCCAGCTTACACATCTGGACTAGTTTTTTACGTGCCATCGGTCTTAGGCGTCTTCTTCTTTCTTTTCTGGCAATCATTTGTCACCAGACTTGAAGCATTTACTTGCATTGCGCTTCTGTGCTTTAACTGCCTTCAATTAATTTCGTACCTGGGTGTACTCATTGCATGCAGACAAAAATCTAAACTAGAGTAGTTTGAAACATATCAGTCGTTAAACCTATGCATATGACGTCGCTTTATATACCCTCTCTCACCAGTGCTGAGTTAGACCAGTTCTCTTCATATACCCTGATTGTTGCATGTGTGGGTGTGGGTAATGTGGCTCAACTAGCGTGTGACCTTCTTATTCACAACTTAGATTGTGACTTTGTGAGTAGTTTAAATTTCAAATACTCCCCGTCTGTTGTCGGTATTGGTATTAGTCAGTTGGATCGTAGTCAAAACTTGATGACTTCGTCAGAGGTACGTTATTTTTCGTTGCATAACATCTTACCTGGTTTTGTTAAAGGATTATATATATATATATATATATATATCTGTCGTCTTTTGGTATGTTTATTTCCATCCAATTTCAGTAGTACCAGTATTCCATTAGACTCATAAAGCTAACCATATATCATGATAAAGGTTGTTCCCACAACATTGGCGACAATTCATCGTATTGTTTCTGTTGAGTTCGTTCATTAGTGAATCATCCGAGTAAAATTGGGAGAGAGAGTCTCGTAAGAGAACGGACTGATTTTTTGGTTTTATTTTTGTAAAGGATTATAAAGGCTAATTACGATTGGCCTGCCAACACGTTTCCGAACGATAACTGACTCATGAAAATGCCCAAGATGCTGATAACTTTTAAGCTATCAAGTCTATTTCTTGTTGCTCTGTTTTTCACCACTAGTGGGTGGATAAGTATTCTGCCTCCTGGCACTTAGCTATAGTGAGGTGTATGTTTTGTGGATTTGTATTTGCACTGTGCAGACTGAGTTGATTAAAAAGCTATGGATTTCCGGAAAGATTATGCGTCTTTTTGTGACTTGTTTCTGTATAGGTGCCTGAATAGAAGTAAAAAGGTGTGATGCTTCAGAAGAGTAATAGTAGACAGGGTGTGTTTACTAAGGAGTTAGAAGACAAGCTTAAACGTAACTACGTCTTACGGTAGTGCATTCCATATGACACATACTCTTAAGGAAAAGAAACCTGACTTGAACTTGGTATTTGCTCTTTAATGTTCTATTCCAATGCGACTCTTTCAAGGTGACTCACGTTGATGGTTAAGTTAGTTTATTTAAGCCTGTCTTGGTGCATCATCCTATAAGCCATAATGAGGTTACCCTTCTTTCTGCAATCGATTAAAGTGAATGAATCTAGGTACTTCAGTTTGTGAGAATATTTTTCTTCCTAGCCAGACAATTGACGTTTCTGTGAATCTCTGAACTTTCTCAAGGGGATTGGAATCTTTCTTGACTACTGGAGGTGCTATCGTAATAAGTACTTCCAGGTAGTCAACAAGTTGGCATATGGAATCTCACACAGGAAGCCATGTTAAGCAGTATATACGGTAATTTTCCTGTTAAGAGGTTTCCATATCTCACCTACTATCAGACTTTTCTGTACTTCTTAAAGCATTGGTCGCAAGGCAGTAAAACTGTGGTTGTAAGCCTTTTTCCTATATTTTCCCTTAAAGAAGGGTGATGAAATGATGCACTGATTTTTTTGAAGTCAGCTTAACTCCATGGGGTGCTTGCAGTGGTTACCGATCGGTTTAGCGAGTGCCTCAGAGCAGTTCATCAGGACTGTCGATTTCAGACCGTCACATCCAAGGATGTTTTATTATTGTTTTTTTCGTGACAGCTAGGAGAAGTCTGTACGAAGCCGGGATAGCTTCTCTAATAAGTTTCGTGTGTTATTAATGTGACGTAGGTGTTCGTTCCCATCAATATATTCGACGACGTGACTTCATAGGGACTGACTTGCTCCCTGGAGGTCATCTCGTTCACTTGGAGTACCCAGACGATATTGTCCTCTTAAACGAAGACGCTCTATCCATCCGAATCAACACTGAACTAGGCATTACTGCATAACGGTCCGAGTTGCCACCGCTCATATCACCACATCAAGTAAAAAGGCACTGAGGTGGAAGATGAAAGAAAGAAAATTCAGTAAAAGAAATATAAAGTACTGAATGAGCGAAAAGAAGCGTGAGAAAATGGTGAGATTCGGCATAACGCCGTTAAGATGAGGATAATGTGTGTATACGTCTGACTTCGGTTCTGAACCATATCCCCTAGAATCTCCAACCACTGGTTACTCTTGTCCCCCAGACCCCGACCGACTAGTTTGTATCGCCCCACATGACTCAAACCAATAGTCAAAGACATTGATGTCATGTCTTGGTCTGGCCCTCTCGACCCTTTTTCTAGCCTGGACCTACTTAGGCCAACATTGTGTGATGAGTTAGACGGTGACTAGGCATACGTAACACATGTCCCAATCATCTCAGTCGATGAAGGTTTACAACCTCATCAACTGACTAGTGGCGTCTTTTCGCTCGTCTCAGCTTTTGGATTTTCGCACATTGAAAAACTTCCACTTGAAATACCCAATCAGTTTTGCAGCACTCCTATTCCTGCACGCACTTCACCGCTGTGTATTCATCAACTCACTTCTCAACAGTTGAAAATCGGCATTATTATTTCTTCGAACCGACCAATCTGCCTCCTGCCAGTGGTTCTTGGGTGTTTCAATTGCTAAATTGCCTTAGCTCTCGGTACTCTTTGCAGGTGATTCTCCAGGAAACATCTTTCCTGGTTTTACAAACTCGTTGGTCAAGAGCAGAGGAGCAAGTGACAGTTGTCTGAAGGTAAGCCAACATAAGTTGTCTTCCTTTATATATTCTGTCCTTTTACTACATTCAGTCTTCAACCCCCTTATTGCTGTTAAATATTTTTTTCCCAAGAAGTTTATGTAATAGTGACATGTCTGCCTAAAATGCTAGATCCGAAACTTTAACACGGATAACGCGGTCGTGCACAAAAAGGGACAATAACACTCGAAACAACACTAGTCTATACCCACAGACAAACAGAGGTAGGGCAGAATACCGAACTTCTAAAGAAGCGGCCAACTTATGTTTCTAGAATTCCAGTCGCCATCAAACAAGTGACAGAGTAGCACTGGCACGTCACAAACAAACTAGTCCTACCTCGAGCAAGGATAAGACCATGCCTGAAAAGAGAAGACGGCGCCACAGGCAGTCCGCCACAATCCGTAACACTTTCTTCGAGGAAAAAAAGCTGCATTACGACACCCGATGGCTGCAGTGTTTGCACTAAAGTTGTTTCGGTAGTCGATGAGGCATTTGCATGCAACCTATGTCACCGATGGTGGCATTGCCACTGCGACACTAAAGTCCGCCGACAATACTGATGATGAAGCAACAACCATGCAAATGGTTCTGGTACATTTTTCTAGAGTGCAGGAAGCTTCCCGCACTCCGCACGGAAAGCTTGAAAGAGATGCTCTCCGCCATGCAAAAGCTACCAACATCCCCGAATAAAGCAAGGTTAACATTAAAGGATAACACAGAGGGACCTAGAAACAGAACTAGATCTTCAGCTGTGCACACGCCACCACGCGCAGGGACCACATTAGGTCGATTCTCTGTACCCCGTACCCGGCCTCAGTAAACGTCAAGCGCATGGCTAAAGACACCGAACGCTAGACTGCGAAACCCACCCCAAACATCCAACACACTGTGACTGAGAAACAACCAGTAGAAATGCACAACAAACCCATTGAGTAGTCGGCCGGGCCACTCATAACGAACGCAAGTCACAAGAGGGCAAACTGGATCATCTTGTTCAGCGTCGATGTATCGACAGACTCATTGTTGATCAAGAAAGAACGGCCTGACAGCCGAATGTGGACCGACTACTGTCAGATGCTGGGACTCCCTCCTCTCTCTGTAACACTGTCACCTTTCCCGCGGAAGCCGGGCACCCCGGGACAAGCCACACCCTTTACGTGTGTCCTTGAACACTGCCAAAGAGGCCGAAGACACACTCCTTCTCTCGCGACAACCGGACGTTAATACCTGTAAAATTCGGACCAGGCCTGACAAGCCATGGTCAATAAGAGGTGAGGAAAGAAAATCAGAGGTTGGAAATCCAAACAGAAACAACACTATAGTTGTACTTGGGATTCCAGAACTACCAAGTGACCACTCGGCTAAAGATCGGTACTTCCACGGCGTCCAACAGTGGCAATGGCTCTCAACCAAAGTCGGTCTCGACAGTACCGGCCAACAGCGTCAGTCGACTGCTGAGGCCAGTGCATCTGAAGTCCATACCCACTCCCAGACTGCTTGCCATCCCATTAGACTCACATGCCTCCCTCACAGACGTTCTACACGCACGGGTGGCTCGATACGCATATGTAAAAGTAAGCCTAGACTCACGAAGCAAGATGAGAAACGGCAAGCACCAAGACCTCTGGAGTAAGTGGTTGTCACACAGGTACTGACCAGTGAGTCAGACACATCGATTAAAGAAGCTGCCACAGCCCCCACCCAAGTTGAAAAAAAACGGGACGACGCCAGTCCTATACCCTCCCCTCTCACCAGGCGCAGTCTAACATGTATGTACAGCCACGTTAGGGGGCTGTGGGGGAAGGTAGAAGAAATGAAGACACTGCGTTAACGTCAGCACTCTGACATCATATTTATCACCGAATCCTGGCTCTCGCCGGACATCTCCGACGAAGAGATGCATGTTACTGGCATGGAACTCTTCCGCAGGGACAGACAGCTCACAACAGGAGGGAGAGTGGCTCTCTGCGTAAACTCTCGTCTAAAGACAAGGGTGGTTGGTGATACCACCCTAATCCAGCTCTCAGATTCTCTCTGATGCTACTTCACTCTCCACCGTACCGAATATCTGCTCGGAGTCATATATCGGTCCCCTATACATAAGGAAATGGTCATCAAGACAATCTTAACGACTTCCTCTGCAAATTACGATTCCGTAATCATCGCCGGTGACTTCAACACCCCGTCAATCCTCTTCTAGACGGAAGGGAGATACATCAGATCCTTCAATCAGAAGCTGAAGAATGCAATTAAGACTGCTGACCTCAGAGAAAGTGAGTGATGCCACACTCTGGGGACCTAACGGAAACGCATCGCGCCTTCACTACGTTCTGTCGAACGATGACCTCATTGGAGATGTATGCATCCAACCTCCACTTGGCCTCAGTGACCACACAATAATAACTATCTCCATGACTACTAGGGAGGCCCTGCAGCCGGGGACGCCCAACGCCTTCCCTTGCTACAGCAAGGCCAACTATGAGACCATGAGGGACTATCTCATGAATGCATCATGGCCGGTAGACTAGACCCATCTGTCAATAGATGAACACTGGTTACAGGTGAAGAAAGTAATCGCTGGTGCCATCAGTCACAGTTT